TCAGCTCCAGTTTTTGCTTGCCGACATCCCTTTTGGGATTGAGCATAAACATACGCATACATATACACCTATATCTAAAAGGATAGAGGAGGAAAGGATGTTTATCTCTGGGCAAAGGACTGGGAAACAGTACTGGGAGTGAGAATATTTTACTGACTTTGCATCTTTTAAAAAAGATTTTATTTATTTATTTATTTGACAGAGAGAGAGAGAGAACAAACGGGGAGTGGCAGGCAGAGGGAGAGGGAGAAGCAGACCCCCTGCTGAGCAGGGACCTCGACCTGGGGCTCCATCCCAGGACCCTAGATCATGACCTGAGCCGAAGGCAGACACTTAACTGACTGAACCACCCAGGCGCCCCTCTCTATCGTTTTTTAAAGTTTTCCTGTATGTGTATCTATGAACTAGTACCCTCTCTGTCCCACCAAAATTTTTAAAAGAGCCTTAGATCTCTAAGGCAAGTTGTAGAGCTATGTGATTATATAATCCATTTTTAAAGAAATTAAGACAGCAAACATGCACAAAAAATTAAAAGCCCTAACTACGTACACGTCCTTCTTTAGGGTTGTGTGAGGCTGTGTAAACGTGGAGAAAAGATTGCAGAAAATTTTCTTGTGCATCCTGTTGCTAGTGCAGGCTAGAGGAACACGTGATGCCCCGCCTCCAGCCCCGCCCCCGGAGCTGATTTCCTCCCACAGTCCTGCCCACCAAGCTTATTCCGGCCACATTCTTGCCCCTGGAATTGGTCTCCGCCCGCCATACCTCCCCTCGACTACGACCCCGCCCATTGCCACGCCCCAGAGCTTGTCACCGCCCACCTGCCCGTCCGCCCTCTCGCTGTTCCCGCCCACAGCCCCTCCCCCAGACCTGGTCTCCGCCCCGATGCCTGGCACTGCCCACAGCCCCGCCCCTTAGGGCTGGTCTCCGTTCCCTGTGCTGACCCTGCCCGAGGCGGTGGGTCCCTCCCTCATTAAACCAGAAATCCTGGCCAGAGGCTGCGATACGCGGTGGTCGACCCCGCCCGACCCCATTCAGAGCCCCTAAACTTCCCTCTCCGCGGCTGCTCCACGGAGACCGGAACTGGGGCGCGAGGCGGCCAGCCCGAGACCGGAAGCGGAAGCGTGGGGCGGTGCCGTGGAAGGAGCCTCGGGTGGTTGCTGCGTGGGGTGTGCGCTCTTCTCCGGGTGACCGGCTTCACTTGGTATGTTTGGCCTCGGGGCGAGGGGCCGGACTCGGAGCGCAGCGGGCAGTCCGGGGCTTCCGGTAGGCGCCCAGGGAGGGGCACGGGCCGCGCGCCTTCCCAGGCCCGGGCTCTGGCGTCCCCGCGTCCCTCTGTCCCCAGCCAGAGTCCCGTTTCCTCCCGTGGGCTGTTTCCTCAGGTCGGTCCCAAGCTGGTGTTCCTCCCAACTCCGGGCACCGCCCCCCTCCACCTTTGAGGGGTGGTTTTGCCCCCGCAGGGGACTTTAAGCAATGTCTGGAGGCATTGTTTTGGTTGTACTAATGCGGGTGTGGGGAGGCGCAACTAGCTTCTAGCGGGTGGAGGCCGGGGATGCAGCTCAGCATCTTACAGTGCACGGAACAGCACCCCTCCCCCAAAAAACGATGCGTAATCTTTAGTGCCGGGCTCGGGACTTCGTGCTGTAGGGCCCCAAAATCTCTGAAGTCCTGGGTCAACCGTGGAAATTGTTTCAAAGTCAGCTGAGTCACTTACCGCCCCCTAAGTGACAAGCCCGGTTTAAAGTGTCCGGAATCATTGAGCGCCTGGGTGGCTCAGCCGGTTAAGCATCAGACTCCCGGTTTTCGCTCGGGTCACAGGATCTCAGGGTCCTGGGATCCAGCAACCCTCTGGGCTCCTTGCTCAGCATGGAATCTGCCTGAGATTCCTTCTCCCTCCCTCGCCCTCCCCTTCCGCTCCTCCTCCCCTCCTCTCTCTCAAAAAAATAAATAAAATCTTTTTTAAAAAATTAAAAAAACATAAAGTATATATAGTCCCCATAAAATCTTGATCCAGCCAGATGAGTTGAGCAAGTCAAATGCACACACAGCATGATGCTGCTTTCTTCCACTTGGGGTGCAGATGGCTGGTGGGGAATCAGGTAAATCCAGTCACTGCCAAAATTTACACTTTAAATAAATTAAAAAAAAAAAAAGACGGGTGGGTGGTCTATTTATCCATGAACAATTACTCCCTATAAAAAGGCCTCAAAAATGATCTTTGTGTCTTTTTTTTTCCCCCAGACAAGAAAAGCATCTCTTGAACTCAAGTTTGTGTTAAAACCAGCTTCAAGGCCCACCAGCCTCACTGATCTGTGGATTTCTGTGACCAGGTGAGGACCATGAGGAATTTGTAACAGGTTCCAGAAGCCTTCACCGTGCAGATGAGCAAGAGTGGGGTTTGTTTTTTTCTTTAAAGATTTTATTTATTTATTTGCCAGACGGAGATCACAAGTAGGCAGAGAGGCAGGCAGAGAGAGAGAGGGGGAAGCAGGCTCCCCGCTGAGCAGAGAGCCTGATGCGGATGCAGGGCTCGATCCCAGGACCCTGGGATCACGACCTGAGCCGACCTGAGCCGAAGGCAGAGGCTTTAACCCGCTGAGCCACCCAGGCGCCCAAGTGAGGGTATCTTAAGAAAAATGTGTATGTTTGTTGGATTATGTTCAAAGGAAAGATACTAAGGTGAGTGTGGTTATGTGTGTGGAAATAAGGCAATAAATACATTTATATGCAAACAAGGACACAGTAAACAAATATGTAAATCACTAAATGTGTGTAATGGTAGAGAAATACAGATTTTCTTGCATTCTGTCCTACTAAAAATTTCAGGATTTTATCTGTAAGGATAAATGCATAAAACTTTTACATGTATATGTAATATTACAAGTCATCCCACTAAAGATTAGCAGGACTTCTCAGCAGTGTTCCCTAGACCCATTCAGTTTGAAATCTAAAGCCCTATCAATGCTCCACAAGGATTAAAAATATATGGACATCTGGGGGAAAAATTCTTTGAACTTCTTTCTGTTAGTAACAGAAATTTAAAATTGAATTGACCAGCAATGGATTTTTTTTTTCATAATGAGATTTAACATTATTTAGAGGAATACCCAACAACTTGTGTGTTGAAGGTAGGGCACTTGTTTCCACAAAGACTGTCCTCTCTACCTTGTCTTCTGGCAGGAATTAACTTTATTTCTTAAAACTTTTCTGAGGTAGGGGCGCCTGGGTGCCTCAGTGGGTTCAGCATCTGCCTTCGGCTCGGGTCATGATCACAGGGTCCTGGGATTGAGCCCCACATCGGCTCTCTGCTCAGGTGGGGGTCTGCTTCTCCCTTTCCCTCTGTGATCTCTCTCACTTGTGCTCTCTCTCAAATAAATAAATGAAATCTTTAAAAGAAAAAAAAACTTTTCTGAAATAACAGTCTGGTGATTCATGTTACAGAGGATCCTGTTAAGTAGTCGTCTGTTGTTGGCTTTTACTAATTCCATGTATGGGTGCACGTGTGTCCCAATTTCATTCTAGATTTCCTGTAATGTTTTGGAGGAGAGTGTTTATTTGTCATGCAATAGATACTCTTTGAGTGCACAGTTTATGGCGAGCAACCCTCCTTGTTTATTTGAAACTGAGAGGCTTACCAGGACACAGGACATTTAGTGATCAATCCAGGACAGTTCTAGACAAACCAGCATGGCTCATGCTCTCGGTGAGCCAGGCCCTGGGCCAGATAACAGAGACCTGGGAGAGCCAAACTGACCTTGTTCTGCCTTCATGGAACTTAGATTCTAATAGGGAATTAGAATTAAATAGGGAATAAAATTACTTACCTTTTTAAATTTAATTCTGTGTTTTTTCAGTATTCCAAGATTCATTGTTTATGCACCACTCCCAGTGCTCCATGCAATCCATGCCCTCCTTAATACCCACCACCAGGCTCACCCATCCCCTTACCCCCCAAAACTCTCAATCAGTTTGTTTCTCAGAGTCCACAGTCTCTCATGGTTCATCTCCCCCTCCGATTTCCCGCAATTCACTTTTCCTTTCCTTCTCCTAATGTCCTTCATGTTATTCCTTATGCTCCATGAGTAAGTGAAACCATAGGATAATTAACTCTCTCTGCTTGACTTATTTCACTCAGCATAATCTCCTCCGGTCCCGTCCATGTTGATAACAAAGCATAATACTCAATTGTGTATGTGGACCATAACTTTTTGTCTGTTGAAGGGCATCTTGGTTCTTTCAACAGTTTGGCGACTGTGGCCATTGCTGCTGTGAACATTGGGGTCCAGATGGCCCTTCTTTTCACTCCATCTGTATCTTTGGGGTAAATTCCCAGTAGTGCAATTGCCAGGTCAGAGGATAGCTCTATTTTTAATTTCTTGAGGAATCTCCACACTGTTTTCCAAAGTGGCTGCACCAACTTGCATTCCCACCAACAGTGTAAGAGGGGTCCCCTTTCTCCACATCTTCTCCAACACTTGTTTACTGGCTTGTTGATTTTGGCCCTTCTAACTGGTGTAAGGTGATATTTCACTGTGGTTTCGATTTGAATTTCCCTGATGGCTAATGATGATGAACATTTTTTCATGTGTTAGACATTTGTATGTCTTTGGAGAAGTGTCTGTTCATGTCTTATGCCCTTTGTTTTTTACATGATTATCTGTTTTTGGGGTGTTGAGTTTGAAGAGTTCTTAATAGATCTTGGAAATCAGCCCTTTGTCTGTAGTATCATTTGCAAATATCTTCTTCCATTCCGTGGGTTGCCTCTTTGTTTTCTTAACTGTTTCTTTTGCTGTGCAGAAGCTTTTGATCCTGATGGAGTTCCAAAAGTCCATTTTTTAATTTTACTTGTTTTCTTTTTTTAAGATTTTATTTATTTATTAGAGAGAGCACAAGCAGGGTGACAGGCAGAGGGAGAAGCAGACTCCCCACTGAGCAGGAAGCCCAGTGTGAGGCTCGATCCTGGAACTCCAGGATCATGACCTGAGCCAAAGGCAGACCCTTAACCGACTGAGCCACCCAGGCCCCCAGGAATTGTGATTTTAAACAACTCATGACAGGAGTGATGTGGGAGCTTGGCACAGAGAACTCAGTCGAGGGAACAGGGAGGCCTTGAGAAGGGCTGACATTTACCGTCAGAGCTGAGGTTGGGGTCAGATTTAGCTAGCTGTAGAGTTTTTGGAGCAAGGGAGTATTTTCAAGAGAGCATTTCAGGCAAAGGGAGTAGCATAAAGACAACCCCAAAGCAGGAGAGAGCCTTGTGTCCTCCATGAGCTGGGAAGACCAGAATGGCTGAGTCGAGACAGCAAAGTGGGGAGCACAGAGCAGGGCAGGCTGGACTGGGTCAGGTCTTAGATTGGACTCTGCTCTGGGACCAGTAGAGAGACATGGTAGCGATGTGAGCACTGGGAGGATGTGATTCACCTTTGGTCTGTGCATGTGGATTAAAATGGACTTCAGGATTCAGAAGGAAGACTTCAGAGGCAAGACCGGGCATGGTAAGAGGAGGTTAAGGGATAAGGTGATGGTTCCCTAAGCCCCAATGGTGGTTGTGGAGTAGGAACGAAGTGGGAAGAGGAGACCCGGGAGTTCAGAACTGAGAAAATGTAATGATACTTTCATTCGTGCTTGTGTTTGTTAGATGGTACCGGGCCCTTCCTCTGCCCCCAGCTCCTGTCCATGAGAACCTGCAGGCCTCCCCCCTCACCCAGGCCCATGCTTTCATCCTGCTTTGCCACTCATAGGCACCCTCCTCCGCATCCTGGAAGAAGTCAGGCCTGAGTAGTCCACAGCTGCCCTGTCTACTGCAGGAACCACGAGTCACCTGTAGCTATTTCAGTGAAACCAATGAGAAACACGATCAAAATTTCATTTTTTTTTTCATTCGTCCTGGCCACATTTCAGTGGCTCAGTATCCACATGTGGCTGTGGCTACCAGCTGGACAGAGCAGAGTTAGAGGACATCTCTGGCATCCCAGAAAGTTCTGCTGGGCAGCACTGGCTCCAGGTGGCCTACCGTCTCCGACCTTCTTCTGGCACAGACATGCATCCAGCTGCAGGCATCACTGAATCTCTAAACTGAGCACAGACCCCCTCTGCCCTCCTGTGACATGTCACCTGCTAGAAGACCCTGATGGGGTCCTCGGAGCCTGAAAGTGCCCCAGGTAACCTGCTTAGCCTGCTTTTCCTCGGGGGCTCCGGGAGGGATCCCAGCCCTCTCATGGCTCAGCTCAGTGACGGGGCTCTTCCAAAGTGCAGATCGGGTCCCTGGTGGGGAGAAAGGAGACATCCTGCCCCTGCGGAAGGGAAGGAGGCTCCACAGCAGTTGGCTGTGGCTGCCCTAACAAATGACCAGAGACTCGGACAGCAACATGGATTTCTTCTCCCATTCTGGAAGGCAGAAATCCTCAGTGGTCAGCAGGGCTGCATTCCTTCCAGAGGCTCTAGGGGAGACTCCTTTTCTGTGTCTTTTCCATCTTGATGGGTCCGTAATCAAAGGGTCGAGACTGATACAAAGCGAAAGTCAAGCAATGCTTTATTTCGCGCCAAGCATCGAGAATCAAAGCAACTGGTCGGAGCCGCCTCTCAAAGAGAGGGCGACCCCTCCCGGCCTTACTGACTAACTTTTAAAGGGCAAGGGTCATGTGGTTGAGCCTGGCCACACACAGGTGACCGATGGGATTGCAACACACAGAGAAAGCTGCATAGTCATGCTAGGTCACACACGAGTGACCAGTTGAATCACAATTTACCCTATAGTAGATATTTGAACGAGCCTATCACCTTGGTCAGAATTGGCGCCCAAAAGGCGGGGCCCACACTCCTTGGTAGCTAGGGAGACAGTATGCGCCCCCACTGGTTGGATGTCTCCACCTGGCCTGACCCGCCCTTGTATTTGGGCGTTGTTACCTGGGACTGGTTTCCCGGACTTGCTTTTAAGTCAGTCCCCTGGGGGAGGAGGGAGGCAGGGTCAGTTTTAAGTTTTTCTGCATCAACAACAAAATCACTGATTAACCGGATGGAATCGCTCTGGCTAAGTAGGCCCTCACACTCTCACAGAGGCCACCTGCGGGCCTTGGCTTGTGGCTCCTGCCTCTGTCTTCAGGGCAGGGCAGGGGGAGGTAGGTAGCAGCTTCCAGTCTCTTTCTCTGACTCCTGCTTCCATCATCCCAGCTCCTTCTCTGACCTGACCATCTTACCTCCCTCTTGTAAGGCCTCTTGTGATGACCTTGGGCTCACCCAGATAATTCTGGATACTGTCCGCATCTCGGGAACCTTACCTTAATCACAGCTCCACAATCCCTTGTCTATGGAAGCTCACACTTTCACAGATTCTGAGGAGTGGAGTCTGGACACCTTTGGGACAGAGGCCCAGGAGGCAAAGAGGCCCTGAACTCTCTCTCCACCCGGCCCAAACTCTTAGTGTCCCAGGTTCCCCTCCCTGCTCACACTCAACAGCCTTTATTGCGTTGATCTTTGGGTGCAGGGAGGGCACAGAGAGACCTCAAGAAGCTGGGTTCTATGTAGTTACATTTGATTCCCGAACTCCAGGGAAAGGAGGCATTCGTTCCCTTTTTATGAAAAGGAAACATCCCTTTTTATAGGGATGACACTGCTTTGAAACTTTTTTTTTCACTTAATTTTAATTTAATTTTAATTAAGTTTAAAATTTTTAAATTCACTTAATTTTAATTTAATTTTTTTTTTCACTTAAATTTATTGGAGATAAGAATGTCTATCAATACCTAGAGATCATCTGTTTCTTTTTTGGCTGGGAGAGTTTCTTCATTCTGTGGGTAGTCCCTAGTTCGTTGAGCTGATTCCCTATTGATGGTCCTTTGATATTCTAAATAAGGCCGGGGTGAATCATCACACCCTTGACCTTTAGTATTTGTGTCCTTGTCCTTTAGTATTTGTGTATCCTGGAGATAGGTTCCTAGATTGTGGTTGGCAGGGAAGGTGTAAATGTTCCTGCATTTTGCCTGCAGCTGGCAATTTTCCTTCCTTAGGAATTAGGTCCCAGCAGTGTATGAGCATGCCTTTCCAGACAGGCTTGCCAAAAGGAGATGTGGTCCACTAGGTCTGTTGATCTGACAGGTTTTTTTTAAAAAAAAGGTTATCTGTGTAGTTGCCGGGTGCATCTCTGTTATTATGAATAAGATATAAGATCACAGGAGGTTCCACCAAGGGTCGTGTCCTTGAAATGGTCGTGGAGAAAACCAGAGGGTCCTGGGCTGAGGAGGAAATGAGTCAGAGCGAGACCCTGTGCCTGTGATCAGAGAGCGAGGGGCTGGGTAGTAAAAGAGAGAAAACGGAAGATAGATTTATTTCACTACTCAAAAACACTGCATCGGGTTTCCATAGTGTAAGAAAGCGTCCATAGAGTGGTCGAGCTGGAAGGGCAAGGCAGGCATGAGACAGTCCGTTGTGCGCGGCTCCTCAAATGTCAGGCAGGACGGAGCCCAGAACAGAGCCGCAGACGCTGGCCTGATACAGAACGGGGTCAGCTCCAAGTCTGTAACAGGAGGGAGGGAGGAACTGTGGTGCATGCGGCCGCTGGGGAGGAGGACCTAGGCGAGCAGGTAGAGCTCCTCCCGTGAAGGTTACTCTGAGAAGTAGGAGGCAGGACCAGCAGCTGCAAGCCAGGGTGTGTTTGTTACCTGTTGTCCCCGACAGAATGTCCCAAACCTCATTGACCGAAGACAATAATGATCATGTGTCATCTTTCATGGTTTTTGTGGTTGGGGAACTCAGAGCAGCTCAACTAGAAGGTTCTAGCTCAGGGACTTTGATGAGTTACCGGCGGGTTGTCCGCTGGGGCTGCAGCGATCCGAAGTCTTGCCGGGCGCTGAGGGTTCACTGCCAAGGCGGTTGGCTTCCAGGCCGGCACGCGGGTGCTGTGTCGGACGGAGGCCTCAGTTCCTCTCCGAGTCACCTCCAGGGTACTCCTGTCACGTGGATCAGCCTGACGCAGGTGGGTGTGGACACCAGGAGGCTTGGGTCACCGAGGACCATCTAGGAAGCTGGTTCCTCTGGAGGGAAGAGAGGAGGGCGTGTGGGGTGTAAAGAGATGGGAGCAGGTGGGCGGGTGGGGAGCTGCACTGACCTACAGGGTGCCGCGCAGGGTCAAGGGCTCTGCGTGCTCGTGACCGTGTTGCCCTAGAGGTGACAGCATCACGGCGCAGGCAGAGGTTTGGAATCACGCCTGGTGGGAGTGCTGCTGGGCAGGCGCAAGGGGGGGTGCAGAGATGAGGACGTGCGTAAGCGCGGGCTGTGAAATCCAAGCTGGGGAAGCGGGAAGTGAGGACAGGGCTTGCCTGAGGAAGCAGGAGAGCGGCTGGACCGAGTCCTTTGTGTGATAGAGAGACATGGAGTGAACAAGGGTGCAGTCTGGGAGGCTGGGTTCAGAGAGACATTTCTGAGCTGCTGTTCTAGATGGTAGAACGGGGTCAGGTGAAGACAGGGTCTAGGGTGGTGCCGATGGAAGGCGTGGCCAACGTGGATGGGGGCAAACTCGCAACACAGTGAGGGTCATCCGCACACCCTCTGACGTCATCTTGACAGTCGTGGGACTGGCGGGGGAAAGATTGATGGGAGGCAGGTGCCAGCGTGTCCAGTTGGTAAAGGGTCGTAGCTGGGACTGTGTGTGTGACAAGCACTTGGATGGGAAGAACGTGCCCTGAGACTCGGTGAGCCTGAGGATTCCATGGGGGCAGCGCAGGCCTGTGCTGGTCGTACCGGTTAGGACAGAAGAGGACAAGTTCTGCCTTCACATGCCCTGCGTTCATCCCCTTCTGAGCAAAGTAAAGACCCAGGACTAGAGACCCCACGTGCGCTTCGAAGGAGGACATGGTGGGCAGGCTGCGACAGGTCCGTCCTCAGTAGCCTGGGGAGGGAGAGAGGCTGTGAAGGCTCCTGTTTCCCCATTTCTTCCAGAACCTGGCCTGCGTGCGCGGTGGGGACGAGAGGAGGAGCGTCCGGGTTCTCTGAGTCCCAGGATGGCAGCCGTGGTTCTGTCCCCCACCTGCGGTAAGTTGGGGGGTCCCCAGAGTCCAAGCATTAAAGGCCCCTGCCCCACAGAGCAGGAGTCACAGGGACCCCATGTAGTTCTTGGGATTTGGGGTGTTGCTGGTTTGGGCGACTGTGGAGATGTCACCTGTGTGGTGAATATGGGAGAGTTTTTGAATTATGCCTCAAATTCTTTCTGTAAACTTGATAAAACAATAGTGCTAGCCCTTGAACTTCAGTTTCCTCCACTGTGAAAGGAGAACTATCGCCTTTTCCTCCAGTGCAGTAAGAGTCTTGGCCTTGGTGAGACAGGGCTCTGCTCTGGCCTCCTGTGAAAGTTGTGTATGCACGCACGTGTGTGTGTGTGTGTTGGGGTATGGTCAGTTACGGGTAGGTGGGGAAGCCCCCACACCGTGAGTGCTAGAATACAGAGCCATCCCGACCTCCTCGGACTCACTTCTTCTCCAGCTCAGCCTTCCCTGTTCTCAGCCTCTCCTCAAAAAGGGTGCACAGAGGAGGAAGGGTCAGTGCATGGCTTCCTGACAAGCTGGTTACCGGTAAGTCAGATACTCCTTTTTCCAAATCATCATTCCCTTGATCAGCAGTCGGATTATCTCTCAGTGACCTGGAGCCCCACAGCCAAACCAGGCCTCGGACGGCGCAGGGTCTCCGGGCTTCTGATGGGGGTGAGGGGCTGCCCAGCCAGCGGCCGTGTTTGTCAACATTTTCTACGTGGCAAAGCTTCCTCCAGGGTTGCTGGCTACGTCATGTTCCACTGAGAATTTTAAGGGGGAGGTAAACTCAAGTGTCCTAGACTCAAGTGATTGATGGTGGCTGTGAGGAAATCACTCATTCATTTACCAGGTATTTCTCTGGCATCTGCCATGTCCCAGGCCTGTGCTCAACCCCAAGACTGAGGGAGATAAGACTGCAGGATTTCACAGTCTCCCTGGAATCAGGGACTCACTTAGAAGAACATTTCACCTTGGCAGTGGGCGTCAGTAGACAGGAGAGGAGCACTGCAGGCTGAGCCCAGAAGCAGTGGAGAGCACAGCTCAGAACCCTCCTCGTATATCTTAAGCTTGGGGTTCCCTGTTTCTGTTCCTGTCGCCTTATCAGCTTGGTGGGGGTAGTCCTTGGCTAAGCCTTGATTCTTATGATGGCTCAGGACTTGGTGACCTTCGAGGATGTGGCCGTGGAGTTCACGCAGGAGGAGTGGGCACTGCTGGACCCCTCTCAGAGAACACTGTACAGAGACGTGATGCAGGAGAACTGCAGGAACCTGGCATCCCTGGGTAAGCCCCGCCTCAGCCCTGCATTTATTAAATGACTCAGGTGACAAGACTTCCTTTTGTCCTTTTTTTTTTTAATTGTCATAACATTCCCATACCATAAAATTCACCATTGTAACTATTCTAAAGCGTACAGTGCAGCAGCTTTTGCTACATTGGCGTTGCCCTGCAGCTAGAACACTGTCCAAATGGGGAACAGTGTCATCCCCTCTCAGCCCCACCCCCGGAAGTGCTCAGTACCCGGTGCCTTTCCCCCTGCCCCCCGCCAGCAGCCACTAGTTTGCCTCCTGTTTCTGTGGCCGAGCCTGTTGAGAACGGTTCACATCATCGGCGTTCCCCAAGATCTGATCTCTTTTGTCTGGCTTCTTGCTTTCGGGCAGCATAGTCGTTAAAGGTCCAGCTGTGGCGTGGCCTGTACCAGCTCGTTATTCCTCGTCGTGACTGAATCACATGCACATTTTTAAAATTCATTCATTGGTTGATAAACATTTGGTGGTTTCACACTGACCAGCTGTTGCAGACAGTGCTGCTGTGAATATTTGTGTCCAGGCTGTCCTTTCCACGTGTTTCTGCTTTTGCTGGGGACGTGTCTGGGAGGGGAAGGCTGAGTCATGTGTTACCACGTTTAGCCTTTTGGGGAGCTGCGCACCATTTTCCACGGCAGCTGCACGGAGGTGTGAGGGCTCTCTTTTCCCCGCATCCCCCCCAACATTTGTTTTTCCGGGTGTAGCCATCCTCATGGTTGCGAAGGGGGATTCCGTGGTTGTTTTGATTTGCATTTCCCTCATCACTAATGACGTTGAGCACTTTTTCACGAAGTAGTCGGCGGTTTGTAGATCTTCTGTGGAGAAGTGTCTGTTCAAGCCCATTTGAAATTCGGTTGTTTATCTTTTGTTCTTGGACTATAAAGATTGGTCATATATTGTGAACACTGATTCCTTATCCAAAATATGACATGGAATTAATTTCTCCCATGTGGTGGTATATTTTGATTTTCTTGATAGTGTCCTTTGACACACCAAAGTTCTTTATAGTTAAAAGTCTGTTTCTGGATTTATGTGTCTTTCCCACCCACCCCCCCGCCTTTGTTTGTTTTGTTTCTTAAATTCCACATATGAGTGAAATCATATTTTTCCAAAGAAGACATCCAGATGGCCAACAGACCCATGAAAAAGTGCTCAGCATCACTCATCATCAGGGAAACATACATCAAAACCACAGTGAGGTACCACTGCACACCTGTCAGAAGGGCTAAAATCAACAACACAAGAATCAGGTGTTTGTGAGGACGTGGAGAAAGGGGAACCATCTTGCTCTGTTGGTGGGAAGGCAAACTGGTATACCCACTCTGGAAAACCGGATGGAGATTCCTCAAAATTAAAAACAGAGCTACCCTATGACTCAACAGTATTTATCCAGAGGATACAAAATTTCTGCTTCAAAGGGACACCTGCACCCCAGTGCTGATAGCAGCAATGTCCACTTCTGTAGGAGACTGTTCTTTCCCCATTGAATTGTTTTTTACTCCCTTGTCAGAAATTGACCACAGATGTATGGGTTTACACTCACTCAGTCCTGTTCCATTGATCGCTGTGTCTCTTCTTGTGCTGGTGCTGCGGCATCTAGTACTCCAGCTTTGACCTAAGTTTTGATGTCAGGAATTGTGAGAATTCCTATTTTATTCCTTTTCAAGACTCCTCTGTTTGAGATCCTTGGCAAATCCACATGAATTTTAGGGTCAAGTTTGTCCATTTATGCAAGTAAGAGCTGTTGGAGTTTTGGTGCTGATTGCGCTGAATCAGTATATCACTTTGGTTAGTATTGTCACCTTAACAATATCAAGTTTTCCAAGACACATCTTTCGGTCACTAATTTTTTTTTTATTCTATTATATTCAGAGAAAATACTTTCTATGATTTCACTGCTTTTAAATTTATTCAGACTCATTTTACGGCCTAACATATGGTCTGTCTGATCTGGAGAACGTTCCATATGTGTATGGATGAATGTGTGTTCTGTGGTGGAGCGGAGTATTTTATATGTCTGTTAGGTCTGGTGAGTTTGTAGGATTGTTTAAGTCCTCCTTTTCCTTATTAACCTTCTAACTAGTTTTTCTACCCATTGTTCGAAGCGGGATGTTCAAGTCTGCAACTATTGTAGAACTCTCCATTTCTTTCTCCCTTCAATTCTGTCAATTTGAAATCTAGTATTGTAGAATTCTGTTTTTATTGGTCTGTAATTGTTACATTTTCTGGATGAATTACCTTTTTATCATTAAAGAATATCTTTGTGTCTCATAACAGTTTTTATCTTAAAGTCTGTTTTGCCTGAAATTAATGTAGCTACATTATCTTTTGGTTGCTCTCTGCATGGAACATATCTTTCCATCTGTTGACTTTCAGCCTCTTAGTGTGTTTGGATGTAAATTGAGTCTTTCATGGATAGCATATAATTGGATATTTCTTATCTATTCTGCCAAAATCTGCCTTTTATTTGGACAGATTAATCCATCTACATTTAAGGTAATTACTGATAAAGACCCACGTATGCCATTTTGTTATTTTCTACATGTCTTATACCATTTTTGTTCCTTAGTTCTTTCATTATTATTTTTGTGTTAGATGTTTTCTAGGGGACCCTTTGGATTTCTTTTTGTGTTTTAGTTTTTTTTTTTTCATGGTTGTCCTGGAGAACTGCAATTAACATTTTAACTTATAGCAGTTTGTTTTGGTTTAGTACCAACTTTGTGTCAACAGCATACAGAATTTTTGCTCTTGTATAGGTGTGTGCACACACACACTCGCTTTATATTGCTTTGTCACAAATTGCATGTTTATGCCTTCTGTGCCCATTAACATAGATTCATAATTATGGGCTTAGGCATTTCTCTTGTAAGTCATGTAAGAAAAAGAAGAGAATTTCAAACCAAAAATACAATTATTCTTGGTTTATGTATTTTCATTTCTCTGATTCTCTGTTTCTTTGTGTGATTTGAGTTAATATCCATTATCCTTTCATTTCAGCCTGAAAGCCTCCCATTAGCATTTCTTGTAGGATAGATGTGCTAGTGATCTCTGTGTCTCAGTTTAGCGTACTTGAGGTTTCTTAAACTTTTGGTTGTGTCCATTTCTGTTTTTCATCAGTTTTTTTTGGAAGTTTTTGGCCATTATTTCTTCAAATATTCTTTCTACCTCATTCTCTTCTCCACTTAAGGAACTCCCATGATGTGTCTGTTGGTGTGTTTGATGGTATCCCACAGGTCTTTAGGGCTCTGTTCATGGGGGGTTTTTTTTGTTTTTTTGTTTCCATTTTTTTTTTTCTTTCTCTTCTTCCAGTGAGGTAGTAGAAATTGTCCTGTCTTCATGCTTATTGAGTCTTTCTTCTTCCTGCCAATATCTGCCGTTAGACAGCTCTTCTGACTTTTTTTCATTTCGGTTTTTGTACTTTTCAACTCCAAAATTTCTATGTAGGTTCTTTTTGTAATTTCTGTTTCTTTAACATGTGTTCTGTTTCATGAGAATTCATCCTGGTTTCCTTTATTCTTTATACACAGTTTTCTTTTCATCTTTGAGCATACTTTAAAATAGTTGATTTAAATTCCTTGGCTACTAAGTCTAACAGCCGGGCTTCCTCAGAGAGGAATTTTTTTTTTCCTGTAATGAAAATATCAAATCAAAATATTGTTGTTGCAAAATGGACATTTGGAACATTATTGTATGGCAATTCTGGAATCAGGTTTTTCCCCATCACCAAAATTTGTTGTTGTTGCTTGTTGTATGTATGTTTAGTGATACTCCTGAACTAATTTTGTAATGTCCGTACTTGTCGTGTGTGGTCCCAGAAGACTATTATGTTAACTTCATGGTTAAAGATTTTTTTAAAGGGTTGGAACAAAAGTAAAAACCTGTTGTCTCTGCAGATGTGTTCCGTGTGTGTGTATAGGAACATACCTTCAAATCAGCAGGCACTGTACAACTCTGCCGTTAATCTTCACTTTCTGCTTGTGCAGAACTTAAAGGTCAGCCAAAGCTGAGGACTTAGTGCTGTTTCAGGTCTTTTCTGAGCATGCGCCCAATCCTAGCCTTCTAGATGCAAAGAAATGGGAGGGCAACTTTTTGGGGTGGTGGGGCAACTTTTAAAAATTCCCCAAAACATCTTATTTCATACTTTTCTTGCCAAGTTTCTTGGGTGGTCTTTTGTTTTCCTGTAATATTTCATAGGCCTCAGGCAGTGGTGGCTAATATATTTTCCTTGAAATGTATTCAGTACATCCCCACTGAGTACCCAGCTCAGCCCTTGGAGAATTTGAGATTAGATAAGTAAAGGCAGGCCCTTGGAGCCAAACCTTCAGAAAGATCAAAACAACCACAGAACTTTGAGAATAAGGTCCATCCTGCTCCCTCTGGTGCTAGGAATGTGGGCTCTCATCTTCAAGGTCACAGCCAAAGCAGAGAATAGAGGATGAGACAAGAGTCAGTGAAAATGTCAGCTGGTTATTGTCCTTGAATAAACAATTTCCAAGTTGCTATGAACTTTTGATAAGTTTCCAAAGTTCTGATAAAGTTGATTCTGATGGTTTTCCCCAGTTTTTTCACTGTTTTTTTAGAGTTATGGACTTTTGGTTCAATATCCCTCAGTTTTCACCATTGTCTCTTCTCACCAGTCTTTCTGAAGCACTTCTGTGTCCCCGGGTCTATGCTGGGTTTAGGAATACAGTGATGAATGAGACAGATGTCTCATGGAACTTTCTGTCTGATGCCTTCCCTGTGAACTGAATAGCTGTTCCTTACCCTGACTTTACATTCTCCATGGTTAAAAGCTTTAGAGCTTCTAAAGTATGTATGTAAACTTGGACATGGACTTTGGGACAGTGTATGTCCTGTCACTTGGGTATTGGGTGTGCTTGAATTTTTGTTTCTTGGGAGTTACTATATTCATTATAATTTATGTGTAGTTATTCCACTGCTGCAAAAGCCATACTTGATCATCTTCAGAATTGTCAGCTCCAGTTTCATGGGGTTGCTTGTCACCTGTACAGTCACCCAACATCTTCTGTCTTTTCTCTGTGAATAGGGTATCACGTTGATAAACCCAGTCTTATCTCCCAGTTGGAACAAGAAGACAAGGTGGTGACGGAGGAGCGGGGAATCCTCCCAGGCTCCTGTCCAGGTGAGCATCAGGTGGACTGGTGGAGACTTGTCATTTTGAGGAATAGCTCTGGTCCGTGATTTGGGGCTTGGGAGTATTACATTTAGGAAATGTCAAACAGGGAAGTTTATACAATGTCTTTTTCTCTGACAAAGATGGTCAAGAACATTTGGTATGAGCTTACTTGTATACATTCTTTCTTTCCTTTTTGCCTTTTGTTAAGTATCTCATACATTACCTTGGAGTCAGAGGGAGGGGGGATAAAAGACATGTTTTCATTTTTTTTTTAATTAAAGTGTAATTACATACAATGTTACATTAGTTTCAGGTGTACAGTGTCATGATTTGACAAGTTTCTTAAGTTGTACTATGCTTACCACAGGTATAGCTACCATCTGTCACCATACAATGCTATAATAGTCCTTTTCCTTTTTAAATAAATCTCATATGAGCACTTTCTTCAATGCCTTCCTACTTTGCACTCCTGATAATCCCTTCTTCTTAAATCTCTGATCGGTCTTAATCCTTTTAGAATCATTTTTTGAATACCTACAATTTTCATACTCCTTGCACTTTCATGGCAAAATGCTGATCCCTCAGAGTCTGCATTTACTCATATGTGCACTTTACTATTTCTTTTCTCCATCAACTTAAATTTCTTTTCATTTTTTTCCCCCAGATTTGGACACAGTACTTAAAGCCAAATGGTTAACTCCCAAGAAACATGATTTTAGAAAAGAACATTCCAGTGGTATAAAAGCGGTAAGACTAATATGGCTGATTTCTGGGTTGTTGTTTTTTTTTTTTTTTTTTGCACAGTAGGAGAGTAAGTTAGAAAAGTCGCAAAGTAAACAGAGTCATTAAAGGAAAGTCATTTACACCATGGGAAATTGTGTCTCGGGAGAGATTCTGTGAAAAGCTGTGAATTTGGGGAAAACTATAAGTTAGCTCCAAACTTGTTTCTTCACTGGGAGTTTCTACAGGTAAATATTTTCTTAAATGTGACCAGAATATTGGCTGTTGAAATACAAAGTGGTTGGGGCGCCTTGGTGGCTCAGTGGGTTAAAGCCTCTGCCTTCGGCTCAGGTCATGATTCCAGGGTCCTGGGATCGAGCCCCGCATCAGGCTCTCTACTCAGCAGGGAGCCTGCTTCCACCTCTCTCTCTATTTGCTTGCCTCTCTGCCTACTTATGATCTCTGCCTGTCAAATAAATAAATAAAATCTTTAAAAAAAAAAAAAGAAATACAAAGTGGTTTATCAGAGTTTATCAGAAGATGCTCTGTGAATAGTGATAAGGAATTGTGGCAAAGCATCCATCTTTTGTAATTTCTAAAAGCTCAGACCAGGCAGAAGCCATATTAAGCACTGAAAATAGCCAAAACATCGATTGTAATAATACAACAGAATTCCTGGGAAAGAGCGTTCATATGCATAAAAATTCATTGAATATTAAAAATACTATAAATTACAGTTATGATTCATCTCTCAATTAACAGGAAAGAAATCATCTTGGAGTAAAACTCAACGAATGTAACCAGTGCTTTAAAGTCTTCAGCACAAAATCTAACCTCACTCAGCACAAGAGAATTCATACTGGAGAAAAACCCTATGACTGTAATCAGTGTGGCAAATCCTTCAGCAGTAGATCTTACCTTACTATTCATAAGAGAATACATAATGGAGAGAAACCCTATGAATGCAATGACTGTGGGAAAGCCTTTAATGATCCCTCTTCCCTTAGACTGCACGTGAGAATTCACACTGGAGAAAAACCCTATGAATGTAATCAGTGTTTTCATGTTTTTCGCACTAGTTGCAACCTCAAAAGCCACAAGAGAATTCATACAAGAGAGAATCACCATGAATGTAATCAGTGTGGCAAGGCCTTCAGCACAAGGTCCTCCCTTACTGGGCACAATAGTATTCATACAGGGGAGAAACCTTATGAGTGCCACAATTGTGGGAAGACCTTTAGGAAGAGCTCATATCTGACACAGCATATGAGAACTCATACTGGAGAAAAACCCTATGAGTGTAATCAGTGTGGAAAATCCTTCAGCAGTAGCTTTTCTCTTACTGTGCACAAGAGAATCCATACTGGGGAGAAACCCTATGAATGCAGTAACTGTGGGAAAGCATTTAATAATCTCTCAGCTGTTAAGAAACACGTGAGAACTCACACTGGAGAAAAACCCTACGAATGTAATCACTGTGGAAAATCTTTCACCACTAACTCTTACCTTTCTGTGCACAAGAGAATACATAATAGGTGGATATGAATACAATAACTAGGAAAGCATTCATTGATTTCTTAATTCTCAGACAACTGATGGGAACTCACTAGATGTATGAGTTAGCTGTTGCTGCGTAACAAATTTCCCTCCGAAGCACAGGGGCTTCAGACAACATACGTTAATTATCTCACAGTTTCTGTAGGTCAGGGATTTGGAAACAGCTTAGCTCTGTAGTTCTGGCTCAGGATCTGTCATGAGGTGAGGCCAAGATGTGAGCTGGAGCAATGCTCATCTGAGTCTTTACTGCTGAAGAATCTTCTTCCAAAATGGCTAGCTCACATGTCTGGCACATTAATGCCAGTTGTTGGCAGGGAACCTTCATTACCTCACTCTCCACAGGGCTATAAGTATCTTCATGATGCAGCAGCAGGTTCCTCCCAAAGCATTTGATCTATGGGAGTGCTAACGCAGAAGCCACATTGTCTTTTTCGACCTAGCCTCCAAAGAATCTGTTATCACGTCTTCCAGACTGTATTGCTCACACAGTGGGGGAAGAAACTACACAGGGTATGTATAGTAGCAGACAGATCATAAGGAACCATCTGAGAAGCTTGCCATGAAATCAGTGAAGAAAAGCCTTTAGCGGACTCTCGTTCTTTTAACCTAGTCTATATGAAGTAGCCTTTAATAAGTCATGTTAATTCACTCTGGAGAGAAACATCATGCGTGCAATCTTTGTGGTACGCTTGCAACGCAGACTCACCCCAACGTCCACAAAAGATTACTTGCGGGGAGAAACCTGAAGGAGACAGTAGCTGTAGGAAAGCCTTTGTGATATTTCTAGGGAGTCGTGCAACAGTTCAGACTAAGGAGAAAACCTTATGAATATCATCAGAATGCAGAAACCTTCATGGACTCCCATCACTGAGAGCACATGTGAGAAATCACTACTGAGGAATATTCGTAGAAAGAATGTGGAAAACCCTTCAGCACAAGTGTTCGCATTACCGAGCAAAAGATGGGAGAGATTCTGAACACAGTTACTGTGGGAAAGCCTTGAATGTCCTCTCAGTTTCTAAGAAGCATGAGGATTTATCCCGGGGAGAGAGTCCTGTTGAATGTCATCAGTCCTGCAAAGTCATTTTTCCACATTCCTTAGGAAGCTGAGAATTCCCTGCAGACACTTGTGAATATAAAGACCAAGGGAATGCCTTGACAAATACCTCCTACATTAGGAAAAATAGCAAGTTTTCTCTGGATGCAAAAGTTGTGAGTGTATTAATTTTGAAAAATCTTTTAGTGATTCTTTGTTGATTTGTGAGAACCTACATTGGAGGCAAACCCTAGAAAAGTAATCAGTATGAGGATGCCTCAGCTCTTTACTGAATGGCCACAAAATAAACTGGGAATGGAAAGAATAGTGAGTGTGAGATTGCTTCTGTCAGTGTCTCATACTAAGATTGGGCCACTAATTCATTAGTCTTTAGTCTTTTGTTTTAGTATAAACATATATCTATAGCTGTACCCTAAAATAAACCTTAAGTTATGTCCCATAGTTTTGTAGGTAATATGTTTGCTATAATTTACTCTTTAAAAATATTAGTGCATAGCATATCCAGAAAGGCATTTCTGAATATCTCCTGAGTAAATTCTTTTATCGTAGTGGAAATTAAACTATATTTACTGTGTACTTTTCATAGTTTAAAGGCATTATTGTCAGGTAAGTGGAGTTGATGATGCGGATTCTTTTTTTACCTTTCTACCCTAGTATGGCATTTTGTTTAGCTTCTTTCCCAATGTCCATTGTCCCCTGCTTATTTACTTTAAAAAATGTTTTTATTGTTGTTCAAGTTATCAATGAGCAGGATTGAAAATAATCTATAAGGCTTCTTTGAAGCCCAGAGGGGTATTGCCTTACTCTCCTGACCATATAGAAGTAGGTAGAAGTCACTGGGGAGAACATCATTTGGCTTGTTTGCCTCATCTATATCCTGTTCATCTTGCCCGTTCTTTCTCTTGGAAATGGACTCAAGGCCAAGAGTTGGAAGAGCTATATTTTTATCATAATGACAAAAACCACAGTGCAGCAAAAAATTACAATGATACGGGCATCTCCAAAACTTCTGATTGGCAGTATCTGCTCTGGACTGCTTGTTCCCAGACTTATCCTTATATGATTAAAAGTAACCTCTAACTGGTTGAAGCCAAAGTCCTTTTTTTAGTTTGTTTTTGAGATGATGTTCTGTTCCTGTCCAGCTAAATGCAATATCTAACTGGTAAGCCTATTAGTTGGTCACATTTTATTAGTGTTTCATGTTTCTTTGAAAATAATGTTTATTCTCTAAGTTTTAGATGTAGAGTATGTACCCATAAACTCAAGCTAATTGTGTTTTCAGATATAGTATGTACTTTGAGATTTCTGTCCTCAAATTTATTTAATGATAGATATGTATTAAAGTCTTGTGCTATGGGTATGGATTAACACTTTTTTGTCATTTCTGTCATTTTTTTTTAATGTATTTTGATGTACAAGCACATTCAGGATTAGGTTTTTTTCTTGTGAATTGTTCCTTAGGTTGGGATCATTTTTTTATACTGGATTATTTCAGTACATTAATAAATGACTGAACACTTACATAGCCCTTCCTATAGATGAGGCACTCTTCTGAGGTTATTATTGAGTACTCAGTGTAAGCTTAAGGAAATATGTACTGTTACTGTCCTCATTTTACAGTAGAGAAAACTAACATGGTAGTTTGCCTGTTACTTGCCTGAGCTCCCTGGCTAGTAAATGGTAGATCCCGGATTTGAACCCAGACAGTCCATGTTCTTAACCACTAGTCTATCTATTGAGTATAATGTATATGTCAGGTACTGTTTAAGACACTGGTGTTCATAGCAATATGTGAAACTCAAATTTGCTATTGAAGCACTTACATTCTAATGGGGGAAAGACAGATTATGAAAAAATCAAAACGTGCTATTTTGAGTGTTGAGCAGAAAAACAAAGCATTATAAAATAGTTAAAGGGGATTGGGATCTTTCCATTGTATAGGCATAGAAAGGGAAAACCTCTTAGTTAAAGGATACTTGAGCAGAGACCCTAATGAGTTGAGAAGGTGAGTCATGAACTTGTGTGACTTCACCTTCTTTCATCCTTCTGATTTCATGCCCAGGCTCCCCATTGACCAAACCCAACCAGAGACCTAAGGCAAGGAAGCCCATTGATGTAGCTCATATTGATTAACGTTACTAGGTTGAGCAAGGTAGAGAAAGTGGGTCCATTGGGGCAAATGGAAGCTATCCAGAACTGTTCACCCCTTCTGCTTCTCAGTCTACTTTTGTCAGTCATCTGGGCAGAAAGTTCTTATCTCTGAATTCTATCAGCTACCATACTGTCTTGGGTATTGTCAAAGCACTGATGCTCCCACCTATCGTCTAGAACAGTCTCCTTCACAAGTGTTCGTATAAGATGGGTTGTGGGCTCTTGGAAGCAAAGCACAAAAATAACCTAAAAGCCCTAGTTTCCAGAGAGGGAACACTTTTCCCAGCAAAGTAAGGGTCCCATTGAGCTTTGTGATTGCTATGAGACCAGCACCTGAGGAAAAAATTCACCCTAGCTTCTGCACAGGTGGTCCTGTGCCAGAGGATGTGGGGTTTCTGTTCTACAGTGAGGGCAGAGAAGACATTTGGCACTCAGGTAATCCTTTGGGATGTCTCTCTCCCCAATTTTGTTGATAAATGTAGCAGCTATATCCTGAAAAGGGCATGTTGACCAGGTGTTCAAATTCCTCAGAGGTGAGGATCTGGATCATCCCTCCAAGTAAGCCTCCTTGTCCAGCAGAGGTTGTAGTCAAGGGTGTAGGGAATCTAGGATGGGATAGTAGAAGTGTGGTGATTAAGTATCAGTTGCAAGGTGCCTGGGTGCTCAGTTGGTTGAGGACCTGCCTAACTCTTGATTTCAGCTCAAGTCATGATCTCAGGGTGGTGAGATCAAGCCCCATGCTGGGCTCTGCCCTCAGCATGGAGTCGGTTTGTCTCTCTCCTTCCCCCCTGCATCTCCTCCCACTTGTACTCGCTCTCTCTCCCTCTTTCTTTCTCAAATCATTAAAAAAAACAACAAAGTATCAGTTGCAACACCATGAAAAGCTGCTTTTGAGAACTGTCTATAATTTGTTCTACTATTCTTCATCTTGAAAGTTTGCAACAAAGATGCAGAAACTAAGATGACCAACCAGAATCCTGTGTGCATTTACTTTTAAGAAGCTAGTGTATCCAAGTGGCGTAAGTGTTGGGCCATAGTGGTGACAGTGATATATTTCTCCGATTCTTTCAGGACTAAGTTACTCATTCCTCCAGCTGCTAGAAGCATTCTAATGGTTTGTCCTGCCATTCTGTTTGGAATTCTCTTGGGCCAAAGGAAAGCACCACACCTCCGTTTATGTCCACGCTCAAGGGGCAGCCCAATTCCAATAACTAGTTCATATGAGGCATACAAATGCCCAATTCCTTTGCCTCAATTTGTGACACCCCTGAAGGGCCACCCAGCTCTAGAACTTCCCATGGGATCAAATGTTACCTCTGTTTTTAACTTTACTAGAGTTCAGTCTCTTATTCTGCCCAATCTTGTTTCTCTCCTTTAGACATGGTTACATCAAACAAATGACAGACTTTTTGTCCTAAAGTTTTATTTCTTCATCTGTAAAATAGAAACAATGAAATGCCTACTTTGTAGATTAGTATTAAGGATTCAGTTAACATATATACGGCATTTATGAGACTTCTGGTGTATAGGAAACATTTTATTTTCTATTATAAGTTAATTAAAATTTACTGTAGGAATATACTGAGCAAGATAAGCCACACAAAGTAAATATTATATGAATCTTAATTTTTAATCTTAATTTTAAGAACAGCAAAATAAAAACTGATAGGAAAAAAATCAGAGTATTGGTTGCATCTAAACTCAGGTTGTGGAGGTGAGGGATAAGGAGCAGGGATTGACTGAGATGTGACATGAGGGAACTTTATGGGGTGAAAAGAATGTTCTGCCTCTCAAAAGAAGTATAGTTTACCTAAGTGTATGCATTTGTCACAACACATTAAACTATACACTCAAGATATGTATATTGCATTGCATGTAACTTATACCTCAGTTTGATTTATTTTGCTAAGGGAAAGCAGCCAAATATGAAAAACCATTTATTCTATGATTCCATTGTATGGCATTTGAGAAAAGACAAAACTCTAGGGAAGGACAACAAATCAATGATGTTCAGGGGCAAGGAGTAAGAAAAGGGGATGGTTGCAAAGGGGCAGCGCAAAGGAATTTGGGAGTGATGGATTTGTTCTCTTGTGACTGTTGATTGATACACAACTCTATGCACTTGGCAAAACCTACAGAAATGTACACCATGAAGAGTGGATATTATTGTAAGTTAAAAAAAATAATCTGCCAGGTAGCAGAGGGAATGCAAAATAGACTAAACTGTAATGAATAACATAACCACAAGGAAGGAAACCAAATTTACTTTGGAAAGCTGTATTTTGACCAGATATGTAAGACTGGCTACAAAAAGAAGAGTCCAGAAATCCTGCACTTCAGTTCAAAAATTTGTTTCTTACAATGTTGTGGATTAGTGATTGCAAAACTTCTATGTGTATACTAAGGTTGAACAAGTAAACATGTAGCTCATGAAAGCTTCTCACTGTCCAAGAGAAATTTTACAAACAAGAAGAGAGAGAAGACTAAAACACTGTGGTGTTGGATTGGATTGGAGTTGGAGGTAGGTAGTATGAATTCATGCTTTTTGATGGATGGATAGTGTGTGTGTGTGCACGTGCGTGCGCGTGCATAGGCTAGGACACATTCTTATATTCCAAGACCTCTCAGTTCAGAAGGCCCAGTAGCAATGACAGTCCAGTAGGAATGAGAACACTTACTGCCTACCCAGATCTAGGTTTCTAAAATACTATTCTTGAAGAAAAGGAAGAAGAAGAAGAACCAGGGCTTTTTGGAGAAATGGGGGCTGTTATAGAGAACATAGAACCTCATCCTGAAATATCTTGAGTTTTTCCTAATGGAAAATAAAGACTGACTAAGAAGAAGCCCCAAAAATTTGCCCAAAAATTTCCCTTAGGTCCTTAAATAATACCTAAGCTAGGCATGTGCAGGGGAAGACACTAGGAGGCTTCGAAGAGAGTAGCTATTGAAAGCTGAAGGTTGTGCAGAGATTTCAGAGATCACACATGCCAGGAGTTGGAGGTTGGTTTTTGGACTCTTCTGGAGTGGAATGACCCTGGTAAAATACATGCATATATAGTGGGTTTCAATTAATGTCCCTAGAAATGTCACACCTTGAGACTCAGTACCACGCACTACCAGTAAGGACTGCATCTTAGAAGTCAGGGCAAAAATGGAATATATCTATGCTTTTAGAGGCTAAAACAGCCTTTATAGACTCAAGGTCATCTATTAATACTATAACTTCCTGCCATAACAAAACCTAATCTTCAGAGGAAGGTACAATTGTCGCGGCCGGCGCAACAAATCGACCAGGGTCGAGAGGGTAAGAGGATGCTGAAAAATTAAGAAACAGAGATGGGGGCAGGAGGAGCACCAAGGAGGATGTCCAATAGTGCCAATTTTATTCAAGGCAGCAAGGCATTATATAGCTAACAGAAACAATCATAAGAAAGTATCTATTTTTAGCTGATTACTAAAGAGTTTGCAACATGCACAGAAAATCCTTCAAGCTTTCCCATTATCTATTTCCCAAGCACCAATGGCAGACCCTCTAGCGCCAGATGTACTGACTTCAAGGCCACTCAAGACATAGTTTATGTAAGCACAGCACAGTCTTACAGTGGTGTAGTCTATAGCCTGTGCAAGGACAGCAAGGACCAGCCAAGAATTTCTGACCCCGACCAAATCATCTCTATCTGACTAGCAAATGTGTGGGAAGTCACGTAGGTGAGCGCACAACACATAGCACAGACCCTTTCTCAGTGCTACTCGACTTTATCGACCTAAGCCTTTTGTTCGGCTATTCAGCCTTTAAAGGAGGCACAAGTCAGGGCCTGGTTTGGTTCTCGTCTCAAGCCTTACCGTGGCCTCCCACATACAATAATTAAGAGCCTTTATCAAGTATATTGTTCACAAAATGCAGCAAACGAGAGTACTAGACATGCAAAGCAGCAAGAAGATTCTTTCAATTAGGAAGATGTGAATCAATAGAAGCAGACCCAGACACCAGATACTGGAGTTAGCAGACAAGGACTTCAGAATAACTATGAATAACAGGCTAAGAAAAATGGGAGAAGATGTGGAAAAATTATAGAAAATGAAAGACAAGCTGCAAATCTTCAAACCAACCAAAGAAAAGACGTTGCTTTCAAAGGAGCAACAGACTGAAAATTTTCCAAAAGAAACTGTGGAAGTGAGATAACGATGTCTGACATCCAGAGGTTTGAATGGGGGGGAG